TCTGTGACATCCTGACCCCACCACTCCTGGTTCTGACTCCGCATCCACACACACCTACGCACAGACATAGCAGTCATTGTTCCACTACAAGCCATCAGTTACATTTTGAATGTCTTTTCGACTCTTCCTTCTTCTCACTATCATCTGCTAATAGATTTGCTGCCTTACACTGCACTTAGATTTCAACTAGAAACCATAAACCAAACTTACTACAGTTGCTGCCACGACCCAGTCAGTTTTTTTTGTTTTTTTTACCTGCCCATCAGTTCAGGACTGTGATTAGTTAACACGGGAATCGATTGTCTAGTATTGTGAACAGCCAAACCAAAAAGCGTTATTTGAGCAATATGTCCACAATCGAGCATTAAAGCTTTCAATCTGAAGTTAGTTACCTTCATGCCAACGGGAGGCGTTGTTTAAGCCATGCTATAGTTATTTCAGTATCTGCAGCCTATAAATGTGTACATTCACCAAAAATATGCAAGCAATCACTTTCATACTTTATGTTGATGCTGTTCTAAAAAGCACATAACCTTTCAGAACCTTTAAAATGTCATAAAACAAGAGAATGTGTGTTGGCTCAAAGTGCTGCATGGACGTCTGGCAAGTTGAAAAGTTCAGCCGGTTAGTGGTGGCCAGGTGTCTCACAGGCAGGCAAGACACTGCGCCATATGGCTGCTTCTCGCCACCAGACGCCAGCCGTCCCCTCTGCTGACTTTCACATGCTTTACTTTCGCTGAACAAGGTGAAAAGTCACGTCTTGTCTAAGCCCTGCACCTTAATGCTTGAGGAATTCTTTTTGGGTTTATACTCGTAAAGGAAACATACTCGTTCATTCAGGAAAAGTAGTAATTGGACAATAACTCAGCTAGAAAACAAAAAGACAGATTTGATGCATCTCCTCTGGAGTTTCTTAAACACCGAAGAAGTTGCATATTATTTTTTTGCCGCTCTCTGCCCTGCATGCTGATTGGAGTTTTAAAGAGGAAATGAAGTCCTGGTGTGTCCTCCTGTTGGGGTTGCATTTGGCGAAGGGTGCCTGTGTGTTGCTGATAGAGGGATCTTTCTGACACGGCTGCTCTGGCCCCGCCGCATCTGGGAGCCAGTAGTGGCAGCCGCTGGGGGGAGATAAGGCGAGGCTAGCCGCTCGTCTGTAACACACGTTTTGCCTCCCTCTGCCCCTGTTCTCTCCTCCCCTGCTCTCCTCTCCACCCATCCTCCCACTCATCACCCCCCCTCCCCGGCCCCCCCCCTCCTCTGACCTTATCTCAGGGGAGAAGGCACCACTGGGTCACTGCTGTGATAGCACCTGCCAGAACCAGAGCTGGCCTCTGGTGATTATGGGGGAATCATTATCTCTCTCTCCCCAAAAACTCATTTTATTCCTGCCAACATCTGAGGGGAGGAGGGGGGGGGGCAAAAGAGCAGAGGCTTCTATAACAGGTAACACAGGGAAGGATGTGTGTGTGTGTGTGTGTGTGTGTGTGTGTGTGTGTGTGTGTGTGTGTGTGTGTGTGTGTGCGTGTGTGTGTGTGTGCGTGCGTGCGTGTGTGTGTGCGTGTGTGTGGTGCGTGTGTGTGCGTGTGTGTGTGTGTGTGTGTCTGTGTGTGTGTGCGTGTGTGTGTGCGTGTGTGTACCAGGAGTGTTTCCTGGATTACATCGACAAAAATCCATGCAGCAAAATATCTTGAACATTTTTCATGCGGGTTTTGAACTTCATAGACATTTGAGAAGATTTAAGGTGATGGGTTCACTGATTTGTTTTCAGCCTGTTACTGCATTTGATGTACATAAAGTTGGGTAAACGGAGATGCCTCGTGGATGTTGAAAACATATTCCCAGCTTCCTTTAATGGAAGTCAACCATCTCTCAGATAAGCTCAATTGTTGCTACGACAAATGTAATTCTGCCTGGTGATGTCGGATAGGCCTATAAGTGAGATCATTTTTTGATTTCCAAGAGGCTGAGCGTGCGTTTAATCCTTTATTCTTAAAAATGTTTCCCCGACTCACTTTGATAAGTTTAACTACACATCTTTGCTCGTTCTGTTCCTTTTTAACTTATTCAGACATTTAGCTATATAAGTTTATAGTTTGAACGTATAAGTCATGTTGTCTTCGATATCCCCTTTTCCAACATGCCCTGTTATCTCCTTCTGTTTTTTGATGTATGTTCCTTCATCCGTTGCTTTCACCTGCTACGTTCTCATGGAACTTGCACCAACTGTATGTTGTTCTCCATGTTGCTGACTACGCCCTGCTACTACTCCCTCCCCACCCTCTAGTAACATGGCTCTTCCTCTTAATCATAGTTTCTTATTCAAAGCTCCCATGGGGAACTTCTGGTTTGTGTGTTGGTTTCCTCTGTGGACAAATGATGACCTTTTATCTTTTTTTCTGATCTATATCTGTATATGTGTATGATTTAATTTTTTAAATTTTTTTAAGTCTCTTCCTGTTTTCTTTTAACAGTTGAACATATCACTCACCGTCTATATTTTCTGTGGAAATTGTAAAAAAAAAGTGTGTTTGTAGCGTGATGTTTTAATGACTTTGGATGACGCCTACTCTGCGACTGTTTTCAAGCATTAAAAATATCTGTAATGAAATAGTCACTCTTCACACTAATGATCTCATAAAACACTTGTAAATGTGGGAAATCCCATTGATTAGCTGCTGTAAAAAACACCTAAATGTCATGTGCTGTAAACAAATGGGTTTATAGAGAAATCACAACTCTCTCTCTCTCTCTCTTGCTCTTTCTTTCTCTCTCTCTCTCTCTCTCCCACTCAGTCTGCCCTCTCACGCCCAAAGACAGAAAGAAACATGAGTTACTCTCACTTCCTCTCTGCAGCTGACCATATGCGCGTTGGTTTCAGCCTGACACTTGGCACATCTGTGTTCTCACATCCCCTCTCACTTCTCTCATCAGCACACTACTTGATCCAGAAAAAATATGTGTCGGTGTGAGACGAGTGCAAGAGTGTGTAATTGGCGTGTATATGTGTGTGTATGACACAGACAAGTACTGCTGTTATACTCTTGGGCTACTCTGTCTGGGTTAGGGGTTAATGAGTCCTGGGGGGGTCAGAGGTCAAGGAGGTGACAGCTACAATGTTGGTAGAGTTTCACATGAGAGACTCGCTCAGCTGTTTGAGTTTTGTTACGTTTATTTTGGCTTCTTTGATTCTTGAAGTGAGACAACAGTGTTTCAACATGTGTCTTTTCCCAGGACAGACACAGTCCTGGTTCTCTCTTTAGAGGTGAGAACGTACTGTCAGGCTGTTGAGTGGGGGGCTGATAATCACAGTTTTAGGTTGAAATATCATGTCCCAAAAGGCTAAGCATCTCCTTCTATCCAACTTTCCAAGCCCAACACAGTTTGAGCAGATGGCTGTTCAACATGAGTTTGGTTTTTTGCACAAAGTTTCTGCCTGTTAAAGTGAAGTCCTTCCTTGCCACTGTAACTTTGCTAATCGTTGTTTATAGTACTGTGCTGTTGGGGTCTTTGTAGATAATATATCAAAGACTAAAGTATTTGACCTGCTCTTTTGTAAAGTGTTTTGAAATATCATTTCTTATGAAATGGCACTAAATAAAGATTGATTGATTGATGTCCAACACGCTAGCTTTCCAGCTAATTCATGTTGTTTTCAATTAAATGAGAGGAAAAGCAAACATTGACTTGCTGAGTAGTGATATTTAGTTAGATTAATTTGAAGATTAATTGGTCAAGGGGAAAATCATTAACAAACTAGTAATCCATTTTATAATTGTTTCAGTTGATGGACCAAACCATGGCTTTAAATGAAAACTTTTGTTAAATACAGGGGTATCTCATATAGAGAAACATTATGACTATGTGCACAGTTATGTGTGATTTGGTTTTGTGAGGCCTATACATACTATGTATTACATAGAGAAAGATTGTGGATCATTAAGCCATCTTTCAATATTGGAGATGCAAAACATTCATTCAATCTTCAGATAATTATTACTGAGCAAAATTGCTGAAATTATATTTCATATGAAGTTCAAGTTTGTTCAACATACATTTGCACAACATCATTATCATCCATTATCATTTAAACCATCCCTCAACCATGACTGAACATAATGTTGTAGTTAACTGTGCATTATAAGGGAAAGTTCACAGTTCACAGTCACAAAGTAAGACAATAAAAACAAGACCAGACATCACTGTAGACAAAGATTAGAATTAGTGCAATAGCCTGTATGAACTGACAAGGGACACACACAAACCTTGAGGGTGAGCAGATGAATGAAGCAGGTTGAGTTTTTGGATATGGGACAACAGAAAGTTTCATCATGCCCATTTAGCCCAGAAGCAAAGGATCCTGGTGAAAGATTGATGGGGTAACTTAGAATTTAGGATGCAAGTAGGAAGGAGTGGCTGTGGTTCACAGACACAGCTGGTTCCTGACAGAGGAAGCCCAGATGGAGGCCCAGGTCCTGCTGCCTGCTGCTGTCTGCTGCTATCACCACAGCCAGCACCGCTGGCCTCCCCAGGGGGCTGCAGCCCTGTAACAAGGAGGAACTCACTCAAACTGTTACATACTATCACACACTTCTCTTTTTTAGCTGCAGTAGCAGACAGACGGGCAAGGCAGGAGGAGGGTTCAAATGAGAGCACAGCCCCTCAGCAGGAGCCGAGAGACACGCTGACCTGCTACTGACATACACACGCACATTCTTGTTCACTGTTGTGGAAGAGACGAGGAGACATCTAGAGACCTGGATGAAACTCAGAAAAAAACAATGGATGAACACACAAGATGTGACAAGTACAGCTAAAGAGGACAGAAAAGCAGACTTTCAGCAGAAGAAGCAACGGTCAGTTTTCGGTACAAACATGCAACTTTAATGCATCTTTCTAACACAAAGTTGTGTGCGGACATGAAAACACAGACAAAACACCAGAGGAATCCAAGAAATGCACAACAAGGATCTAATACCTTCGTGAGGAAGTTGAGGAAGGAGAGGAAGCAACTTGTTTCATGTTTTCACTGTCTGGAGCTTTACCTAAAAGTACGTCCTTGGAAGGCAGTTCAGGAGGTCATGCAATGACCTACTAGAGCTACAAAGGCAAACTGGAGGAGACTAAAAAAAAAACCAAAACTGCAAAACTTCAACAACATTTGAAAAAACGATCCAGCAGAAGAGCCTTTAAGAGATTTTAAACACCTTGTTGTTTTGGATTTAGATTTGCTCTAAGTACCTTTAATCAACCGACATCGCACAATAATTGCCAAGTTCAAATCTTTCCAGTGGTGACTCAGGGATTGAATCATGTCCGCTGAGGTCCATTTGGAACGCCAGAAGAAGGCTGACCGGAGAGCAGTGACTGCTCTGGGGCTTTCTCCACGTGTCCCCACTGTGACACTGATCAGCCACAGAGAGCTGAGAGAGAAACACACAGCCCACAGACTCCTGCCTGCAGCCACGATCCAAACCTGGCAACGAGTAGCCTCTACAGATGTAGTGAAGGTACGAGCTTTGTCATCCTAAAGGACCTGTTTCATGAAATCTTTTGGCAGTGTGTTAGCGTGATGAGTGATGGAGGCTCCCGCAGCTGTCGGGTCTGCTCATTAAGTCGGAGTGATTGACAGATAATCAGTTCGTGTTGACTTAGTATGCAAGTTGTAAGGACAATGTGAGGTTTCTTCATGTTGCTAGTAGACCTGTTATTTCATGATTAAAGCTGGGCTTTCAAGGTCAGAATAACATCAATTACATATAAAATAAGCTTATGTTTATTTCTCAAGTTATTTACTGCATAGTTTGCCTTTTATATAGAAAAAGAACACTTTAAATCAGGATTATTTTGGACACCAAATGACTTTCATTTGAACTTTTTTCTCTAATTGTCGTGTTTAATGGTCCCCATATGAACTGTCAAGCACAAACTGTTATTGTAAACAAGATCAGTGGAGTATGTTTGTCCTGTGGGACAGGAAAAAAATGGGAAAGGGGTTTTAAAAGCGCTGGTTAGGTAGGTGGGGGTTTCTTCCTCTGGGCTTCCCCCATACAGCTGCAAAGGAACAGAACCAGATTCTTGAGTTTCGTTGCTCTGCTTCAACGGCAGCACAATGCAACATGCAGGTCATGAGGGTGCATCATAGTAAACGAAAGCGGAGGGAACTTTAAGGGTGGGAAGGGGGGGGGGGGTTGCAGCCATATGACGAGAGGGACTTGAAAGACATCCAGGAATAAAAAGAAGAAGGGAAGGGAAAAAAAATGTAATTGATTCTTAAAGCATTGAAAACACTGAAGTAGTGCCTTTAGGTAAAAATGAGAACCTTCACTTAAAGCAGCGGAGGGTTTGAGGAGAGAGATGCATTAAGAATCAGACATTAAAGGACCAATTTTATAGAATCTAAATATGTAGAAACTGTAAGCCAGAGCGAAGACTAATACCCAATGGAGTGAATTACCTGCAGCGCCTGCCGTCTCTTGGCAGTAATGAGCTTTGTGAACGTCGCGGCGATAAGGCCTCTATAATTAGGCTTAGTCATAAGCATCCCCCCTGTAATTCTGTGATAAAAACCCAGTAGAACTCTGGTGTCGCTGCTCCAGCCCATTCATCTCACACACACACACACACACACACACACACACACACACACACACACACACACACACGCACACACACGCGCACACACACACACACACACACACACACACACACACACACACACACACACACATCATGCAAACAGTGAGGAAATCAAAATGTGTTTTTGTGAATTGTAAACACAGCTCTTTGTCTCAATTAGTTTACCTGATGTAAATGTGTATGTTTTTGTGGATGAGTGTATAGACCAATGATATGTTCCCTCTGTATGGAGAAGCCGTAGAAATGTGCGTGTCTGTGCGTGTGTGAGAGGTGTTGTGAGTTGCAGCATAGGCTTCCTGTGAGGGAGCAGATGTCGCAGAGCTCAGGCACAGCTGCGACGGGCGATAACCGCGGTGGCAAGAATATGTCGGCACGCTGGCTCTTCTCCCTGGGTCTTATCAGTCGCACACAGCAGACAGACACACACACACACACACACACACACACTCATACAGACACTCTGCAATAAGGAACTGCCACCCAGCAGTAGCACATCGTCACAGCAGGCCCAGATAGAGGGAGGTAGGCAATGAGAGAGACGGAGAGAGGAAGAAAAAGAGCAAGGACTAAATCAATGGACTTTGAGGGAGAAGGTGCAGTGAATCCCTAACAAAGCCTTAAGTCATGTCTGCTGTATCATAGGCTTTATAATTTAGTCCCAATCCTAATCCTCTATGGCAATGAAGAGGCTGTTCTTTATAGTTTTCTCTTTTCTTTTCTCTGTACTTTCACATACACTCTATAGATAGATTACTTTGCTGCTCTCCCTATCTTGACATCCTTTTTTGATTTGTCATCAACTTTGTGACTCAGGTTTTTAAAGGCCTATTTGCACAATAGTTACATATGATTGACTCGTCTTTTCATTTTTAAATCTTTTTGTTTTTATTTTTGCAGTTTAAGTATCTCATAAAATTGTGAAAATCATTTTTTTTTCATGTTTGAATACCTGCAGTATATACAGTTTGTAATTCTGTGTAGTTTTTTTAAATCATTTTTTCACACATTGAACAAAGTGGTTCACCTCACACTTTTGCCGCATCACCATGTCTCAAAAGTTTAAATTTAGACATGTAAGTCATCAAATATAATAGTCTCTATCAGATACAAACAAAGACCAGAGCAGAGCTCTTTGAAACAGTGGGGATAGATGAATGTTGATAATGATGGAAGGGATAAGAAAAGGTAAAACAGTGAATAAGGAAATAAGGATAGAAAAAAAGGAAGGGAATATGTGGGAGAAAAGCAAGCTGGCGTTGTTGGTGGTGGTCGTGTGTGTGTATGTGAGAGAGAGAGAGAAGTTACCCTCTGTATTTCCTCAGCACCAGCTTTGTGGTTTCTATGAGGAACAGATGTTCACAACTTGATACAGTGCCTCATCCCCCTCTACTCCCTATCTCCTGTGCCAGCACCACCAACTGTCTGCACACACACAATCACACTCTTACATCCATACACACACATATTGCCTCTTGGGAAAGACAGTCATATATAGCAGTGACTTTCTCGTGTGAATGTATGGGGGGTGTATTCATCTGCATACTCAAGGCTTTTTATTGTCCGTTTCCCTCTGAGCTCAGGCTGCGTGTCCTGTTCTCGAGTCAACACTTGATACAATCAGGTGTCACTTCCGCCTTTGTCAGTTTGAACTTTTGTTGTTCAGCTGTGAACCGTCTCTCAGAGCTTCTGCTCAGCAAGACGGTCTGGCCATCAAAAAACACTGACTCATGTGCTCTTACTCTGACTGTTCGCATGTAGAGGTTCTCACCAATCATTCTAAAATCCTCATTAACATCACAAATAGAGATGTTATGACACCTAGGGATTTATATTCCGATAACTATACTTTAGTGTAGGTAGACAAGGAGTGCCCAACTGATGGCTGTCCGAAATGTAAAATAAAAAAAATTGCTAAAAATTTGCCTTCTTTGCTAACATTACACTCTGAATAGCAACATACTGGTGTTGCTGCTTGCTAGCATTACATGATAATATACCCACCTGATACCAGTTGCTTTTGGAAGGGGTACTTAATGAAAGATGATCGATGAACTGACCAGTGTGCCAAATTTTCAAACTGCATTTTGGCTTTAACTGAGGGCTTTAGTTATATTGATATTGGCCTCTGACAGAGCCAAAAATGCAGTACACCTCCACTCATCAGAATGTCTCTTCTATGTTCCTCTTTGTCTCTCAGGAAATAAGAGATGGGCTGATACATGGAACAGTCTTTTGCTCAGCTGATAGCCACAGCACTATATCTGAAGTGCTCTTCAATATGAGATGTTCTGTGGCAGAAAACAACCCTGCTAGTCAAGTATTTCAAAGGACATTATTTCTCCCAAAGAGCACAAATCGAATTTTGAATTCCCATCATGTCTGGATGATTCAGACAACCGACACTTTGCTGCTCGATTGCAAACAAAATGTCAGAGGGTCTATGGGTGCAATTTGTAAAAGCAGCATTCCAGTGTACGTGCTTGAGTGGGTCGGTCAATGATCCGTCACAGCGCGGCGTATTACAGAAAGACTCTCTGTCTCATCCTCTTTCGTAACATTATGGAGCAGCGTTAGGACAAGCACTCGTTGAAGATGTTAACATAGAAATGGGGGGGAGAACAACATCCTTGGCAGCCTCTTCAGCATGCTTTCGGAGAAAAACAGCATAAAGGGGAAATTTCTCAACACAAACTTCATAATTTCTGTCTGCATGAGACATGATTCAGTTTGTGTTTTTCTGTGTTTGATCAAATGAGATTTCTGATTTCCTCTTCCGTGAGGAGATTGAACCGACACTGCAGACTTTAATGACACCTCGGTAGAGCATAGTCTGTTAAAGGTGCCTAAAAGACGAGAGGATAGGAGAAGAAAGAAGAGAAGAGCGCGGGAACACAATGGGTCTGGCCTTTCTTTCAGTCAGCTCAGGGCCTTATCTCATTTCAACACACTAGCCTGTGACTGCCACTATAGGAAAGGATTTACAATGTGTGTGTGTGTGTGAGAGTGTGTGTGTGTGTGTGTGTGTGTGTGTGAGCGGAGGAAATGCTGCAAATTTCTCTCTCAGACACATACAGGCTCAAAAATAGGCATTTCCATACCAGCACAATGACCCAACCTTCTATCAGAGTGAGTGCGCAGCCATCCAGAGATGCTGTCACTACTACACAGAGTTCAAATCCAGGTGTGTGTGTGTGTGTGTTTGTGTGTGTGTGTGTGTGTGGTGTGTGTGTATTTGTGAGGCGACAGAGATAGCGGAGTGAAATCGAAAGAGGAGACAAAGCTGTTTTAATGCCCACGAAAAGATCTGCAGTCGTATAAGCTGGCACACAGAGTTCATCGAGGCGAGTTCCCGCCTTAAATGTGTGTATCTTTGTGCAGTTTATCAGGACGGCCACATAGCGGTGTCACAGCTAACCCAGTGACCGCTCAACAAAAGGCCAAATTAAGAGGAGTGAGGGGCTGTCGTACAGGGAGGCTGACAGTTTGACTGACGCTGCTCCCGAGGAGAATAGCATCCTGTCAATCTTGGAGCTGTCACCTTGACAGGAATCCTTTCTTTGAATGCAACCCCCATCGCCCAACCTTTCTGTCACTCAAGGCCACACACACACAGACACACATGCACCTCTTGCTTTTAAGTATTCTGCACTGGAAACAAATGAGCCTCCTATCGCAATATACAAAGAAGACACACACACAAACACACACTCACACACCTGCATGTGTACACTAAGGGCCATAACATAATATAATATATTATATTATAACATAATAAAGACAGTGAGTTTCATAAACACTCCATCTATCTCCTAGACAACCGTACTTCCTCTATGTTACACTACACACACACACACTGCCTCTACCAGACCGA